ATTGAAGGTTTTTAGGTGCGTCTTATAGTGCGGAAAATACGGTAATTTGGTAATGAACTGGACAGACTCTAAAAATGGCCATCTGCTGAAAGATCAACAGGAGTGTAATTAAACCAAAACTGTACAAAAAATATAGAAAAACTTTATATGTGAATATATTCTACCCAGTTTTAGCTTCAACCTGTTCAAATTCTGTAAAAAAAAAAAAAAAATTGAAAATCTGCAGAATGCGCCAGTTTTTAAAAATCAGATTAATCACCAAATGATCAATTACTAAAATAGTCTTAGCAGTCCTAATCCTTGCCTTTAATTGTTTAAACACAGTTAAGCAGACATCTCTGCGTCCAACACATCACGTTTTATTGTCTGGATATCTGGAGGAGGTCTTTCGGCTTTCAATGTGTTCTTGTCTCCATCGGTTTTCTGCAATACTAAATAATTTAAAGTGAATCTGCTTCAAACTGTCTCCACCACTCAGGATCTCCACAGATAGACGGAGACCTTAGTGCACAGAGGAAAAGTAGGATAAAATAAATTCTGCATATGGTAATATTCACCTGCCTTCGGTACAGCAGTGAGTTAAAACGGAGCTGTCAGTCTTGATGACGCATTTTCTCCTGCTTTCCTGCCGTTTCCTGCTCAGAACGCCGTCCTCGCCTGTCCCCGTCTGTCACTTCCAGCCGCACATAAAATATTCAAAAGGCTTCAGACTAATCAGACGCAGATTTAAACCCAAAGCTAAGTTTGCGGAGTTGCTGAGCAGGGAAGCAGGCGTGGGCCTCACGGCGCAGCAGAAGGACACGTTGAGTTTGCTAATTTCCCTTTCAGATTCTGCAGCGGAGCTGAGGCATGACAGCTGTTTGTTTTGGCAGGCCAACACGGTAGCAGCAATGTCCCGCCTTACATTCAACAAAGCTAATATGAGATTTGAAGGGAGCCCAGCATCAGACACACAAACTGTTTGGATTGCTGGAATCCACACAATCTTTTTTAAATAGAAAACGTGATGCAGGCTGCTAAGAAAACAGATCAGTCTGGATTTGCAGCTCGAATTGTTTTAACTTCTCCTTTTTGATGGTTAAAATGCTGATAGATTCTGAAGACCAGGACAGATCAGCCCACATTTAATGACTGTTTACCATTATCTTGTCTCTTTCCGTGTTTTGAGATTTAGGTTTTAAATTATTCATCAAATGTTGACATAAAGATCAGTGACAGTTTGTCCAGCAGACCAAATATATTCATATCATTCAGAATTTACATTTGCACCACTTGAAATATGATCTCCTTCCAAATATCCGTCCAAGCAATTCTTCCCGATAGTTAAATAAAAAGCAGCGATACTGAGTTTATAACTGATATAACAAATGTAGTAAAACTTGTCATGATTCTATAAACAAATCAACAATACTTTATGATTTTATTTCCCTTTCAGTTTCAGCTCTTCTGCTAATGCGCCAGCAGCAGAGCTAACTTTTCATTTAACTTAGTTTTCTCTACATTCAGTTTTCATCTTTTTCTTCTTTTCCCTGGACATTTGTTTCCACTGAAGCTTCAACATAAACAATGAAGAACTTGTGTTTTCATCAGAATAATGTCCCTGGATTATAAAGCTGATCAGAAAAATAAACAGCTGATTATGCTAAACAAAATCCGGACACCAACAGCAGCTATTAGAGGCGGGATGTTCTGTGAAATGTTGTGATTATTAATAACTTTATGGATTTTAGGTCTTATTGCCAGATAAAATCTGAGTTCACATAAAGTACATATTCTACATGCAGCATTGTTGTGTTTTAATCTGCGTTTCACTAATCAAGGATCTTTTATAAACTGTATTCAGTGGAAAAGCCGAACATCACCTGTCAGTCTGTGTTCCTGCTGCTGACTGCAGTTCAGCAGCGCTGCGGTGGTCTTCTTTCAGGCTCAGTCCCTGGAAAACCGTTTTTTCTTCATGGCGCTCCCCTGCAGAGACATTTGTTGTGAGATCACCAGCTGCAGCAGAACTGCATCGTTTTAGACGTTAAACCTGAGAAAAGATACTGCTTAACAAACTTAGCATTATTACAAAAGGTCCTTCCTGTTTCTAATAAAGTCTTCATCATTAACCTTTTCCTCTGTGGCCTGTCAGCTTGGGGCAACCTGGGAAATGTTTTGAAGAGCCAGGGGAAGATGGATGAGGCTGAGCAGGCCTACAGAAACGCTCTGTATTACCGCAGCAACATGGCCGACATGCTGTATAACCTGTGAGTATGTGTTATTTTCATACTTGTGTGCCGTTTGGGTTTATTTTCCTCTGGTTCTTGTGGATGTTTCTGTAAAGTGGCTGCAGACGGAGTGCATTGATCCCAGCTGTTCTCTCTGAGAAACTGCCCTCTTGTCTTCTATTCCCCATCGTGTTGTTGGGCTGACAGGAGTATTAATGATGCCGGTTTAGTCAAAGAGGAAATGTAGAACACCAGGACTCTTTGATTCCCTCTCTTATCAGCTGCTTTTGTCTTGATTCAGAGCTTTAGCTCTGCACACTGCCTGCGTTGAGCTGTAAACCGTCTCACATGCCGTCCTGGTTTCTCTTTGTCTGCTCCAGTGGTTTGCTGCTGCAGGAAAGCAACAAGTTCTCCGAGGCGCTCCACTACTATAAGCTGGCCATTGGGAGCCGGCCAACGCTGGCTTGTAAGTACAGCTCTTGTCTTTTTATTGACAGCCTCCAGCCCTGGTGGTTGTGGCTGTGCCGTGTCCAGGCAACAGAGAACAAAGGCTGTGGTTATGTAAAGGGAAGTAATGGATGGCAAAGGGCAGCGGGTCTACGGCGGAGCTCAGCATTCAAGCACAGCTGTGTGACCAGCTCTCTCAGCCCGCTCATGTCAACAGATCAGGCATGATGTCATTCACCATGAATTCGGGCCGCGGCGCTCTTCTGCTTTCATTCCTCCTTCAGTCTTGGTCTTTTTCAGTTTTCTCACCTTCTGCTCTGTTATTTCTTCCTCCCAGTTCATGACAGATAAACAGTCCTGACCGTCTCATCCTTCCTCCACCGGAGTAATTGAGCATCTAATCAAGCTTGCGATAAAACTGGGAAATTCTAATTCAGCAATTATCCAATCTGCAGTAGCCGATAGCAGAGTTAGTTAATTATTCCGAGCTGCTGACATTTTGAACGCAGAATGTTAATGCGACAGTGTTCTTTCCAAGGTTACACCATCACTCACTGCCTAATTGTGAGCTAACTAGGCCACATTGTTGGCTTTTCATTCAGCCCACATCTTATTCTCTGTTAAAAAAACAAAAAAACATTTTGTTTGGCTGCTTATTGGAGGGTTAAAATGACTTCCTTTGTCAGGGTTTGCACAGGTGCTTGAAAGCCTTGAAAATACTTGAATTTTTCAAGGTTTAGAAAGTGCCTGATTTCTGTTTAAAGTTATGAAGTGAAATCTTTTTGATTAAAAGCCTAAATCTGAAAAATGTTATTTACAGTTGAACCAGATATTTTACAGACACATTTTTTCACACAGTCAGAAGTTAAATCACACTAAACTTTTCTTATGTTTGTTAGAATTACCTCAATTAGTTCCATTGCTAGAGAACTTAGCAAGAACATTTTTATTAGTCACTTATAGACTGATCTATAAGTGACTAATAGATCAGTCACTTATTATGCTTATGTTTTATACATTAAACAAAGTTATTGAAATTGGGTGATTTTTGTTTTTTCTTTCTGTTAAATTAGCGTTTTGTTCTCTCATCAGAGATTTCAAAACATAAAATATTACATATTTTTGTTTATCCCGTCTCTGTGGTTGAATGTAAAATATTAACACCCAAAATGATTAATAGCAGTAATAAGTTATGTCATGTAGTGAATTAAAACTTTGTTGCCTTTCTGTGTTCATTTGTGTTTTGGTACTGGAAAAGTATGAAAACTTACCTTGAAAATTCTGGAAAAGTGCTTAAATTATACAGAAAGACTGTTTTGTCTTTTTGTGCATAAAAGAAAGTGTTTACTGCAGAATCAGGTGGAACAGATAAAAATGTGCAGGATGAGTAAAAAAATGAGATAAAAGCAGCAGAAAACTGTTTGATTCCCAACCTTTACCTCCATTATGCTGTTACTGTCTTTAGGAGCCTGGCAGATTGATCCGATGTGTCCAGTTTATTTATTCTAACCACCAGGCTTTCTTTAAAGAGGAAGCTCCTCTGAGACTAATTACTCACCAGCAGGTATTGATCAGAAGATCCCGTCAGTCGCACAGAAGAAGCGCCTCCAGATAACTCGGCATAATGCCTGCAAACAAATAGAAAAGATGGAAAAACTTCAGCCAGATTGTATAAAAACAGAGTTTCACAAGTTTAACAAAACCCATAAAGAGTTTCAAACATTCCAGCGTTCATCAGTTCTAATCCGATCCAGCTGCAACAAGAAGAATAGAAATTTATCCTTTTTTGTGTTTTCCCCAGCAGAATAAAACTTTTATAAATCTCAGACTGTGTTTCACATAATATATGTGAAGCACATATATTATGATTTAACTAGAGATGATCAAATGCAAAAAACATACAAGCAACTGGATAATCCATCATGAAATATCGTCTTACTAAAGAGATGGTATTTTAATATCTCAGAACCACCATGAAGGACTGGGTTATTTAAAAAAATTAACCACAAAAATATGAATCAATATTCAAGTCAGTCGACTGTTTCACAAGATCATAGTTCAGAAACTTGGATTAGCTGAGGAACATGCACTCATTCAAACCAATTCAGTTTATTTCTATAGAGCCAATTCACAACAAGTTCATTTTCAAACGAGTTGAGTTAATTATTCAAATTAGTTAAAAAAGCTTCTAAGACAAGCCAGCAGAGCATCGAGTCAGGTGTCGCTTCTTTAACTGAGAAAACATAAAGCTAACAGATGAAATGGCAAATAATACAAGTTGGAGAGTAGTAGGAGAAGAAAATGAGGAAAGTGGTCAGTTTTTCCCAGCAGCAGCAGCAGCATATCTACAGAGACGGATCAGGATAACCTCGGCTCTTAAACTGAGGCATCCCGAGGAAGAACAGACAACTAAACATTTTTATATCCCAGAAAATTGTCTGTTTCAAACAGAAATGCAGATTTTACCAGGAAAGAGATGGAAAAAAAACCTTCATGATTTTATTTTACTGTCTTCAAAAAACGTCTTCATCAAGCACCCAGCCCTTCTGAGTTAGGACAGCTTTAATAGATATAAACATGTTTCTGCTGTCAGGAAAGATAAAGGAATGAAACTCGTTTGGCACAGAGAAACGGACGTTCCAGGCGACCACAAAGAACTGGATCTACAGCTGAGGGATGTAATATGATTATGGAAATCAATAAACAGCCATCACTGAGCTGAGTGCTGTTGGATCGATCTGTTTATGCGGCACCAGTCCACAAAAGTCATATACAAAACGCCCCGGCAGATACATGCAATAATCCAGTTCAGTCTAATTCAATCCTGTAAAAACCATTCAGTTGGTCACAGTCAGATTTCAGTTCAGTCCTGTTATAACGCAATAAAAGCATCAAGACCAAGTCCATTAGAATGATGAAACGCCTGGAGCCGGGGATTAGCCTGACCCTCACCTCCTGCTTGTTTCCTTCTGCAGCCGCCTACTTGAACACGGGCATCATCCTCATGAATCAGGGCCGCCTGGATGAAGCCAAGCGGACCTTCCTGACCTGCGCCGACATCCCTGACGAGAACCTGAAGGACCCCCACGCCCACAAGAGTTCAGTCACCAGCTGCCTGTACAACCTGGGCAAGCTGCTGCATGAGCAGGGCCAGCAGGAGGTACCGCACCGAAACGCCTTCAGCAAACCTGACGGCACCAAACATGCTCTGCGTTTCCACTGAGCGTGTCGTCACACAAATAAAATTAGCTTCATGGAAACATCATTTAAAAGAACTCTAATTATCTAATAAAAGGTTTTTTGGCCGTATCAGAATTTGTCTATTTTGCAAAACTGTAATGGAAGCACTTTTTACGGATCAGATAATCAAACCACAAAGACGACAGGAAGCATTTGGAAGGTCACAGTAAACTTTTTAACAACAAACGTATTCACGTGATTTTGAGCTTCTGATTTAATGGAAACACATCTAATGACAAAGTTTTGCTCACATTTGTAAGCAGAATCAGCTGGTTAAGTGTCAGAATCTGCAGCAATAATAAGCTGGATTTTCTTTAAAAAAAATAGTGAGAAATTTCTATTTCTAAAGTAAGATAAATTGTTAATTCTTGTAATTTTTTATGTAAATTCCATTTAGTTTTTTGTTATCAGTTGGATATTGATGTTATACTTTGTACAGCAGTGTAGATCCATTTTTTTTTATGTTTTTTTCTGATAAATGTCCTTCTACTGCGGGAGTTGAAGTGCTTTTCATTCCCTTCATAATGAAAAGCGTTATGATTTGAAACCACAGTAAACTGAGACGAAACGCAGGATGCTGCTGACGGAGCCTTCAGGGGAGTAAAACACTTGCTTTTATACGGACATTTTTTTAAATTGCTTCTGTCATAAGGGACGTTGTGTTTGCACAGATAATCCTCAGGCTGTTCTGAACAAATTCACTCTATTTCATGCCCCTAAAGACCCAGTGGGCTCGGCTAAAATGGCCGTTTTTCCAATGCTGCACATTTATATTGAGCATAAGCAGTGACGCTGTAGATTCAGTCAAAGCTGCAGCTGTAGTTCTGCTGGTTTTGTACTTTATAAACTGTTTGCATGCTTGAGCCTAAAACAGTCCCCGGGGGTCCTCTGAGGTCAGTCGGTTGACATGCACCACATCCGCTGTACAACCGTCAGTAACCAGCACTGTTCTGGTTGTGCTAACAGCCTTGACGCGCAGGATGGAGGCTTTGTGCTCAGCTCTGTATGAACCACCCAACCGGAGACCCTCAATTTATTCATATTGGCCGGACCCAGCCGCGCCGGAGCAGCCTCTTGTTCCCCACAGCCAGTTTTTTTTTTTTTTTTTATCTGGGAGGATCTATCTGCTTTTTCTTACACAAACATCCCCCACCTTCTTTTTCTCATTTCGCAGGAGGCGATCTCCATGTTTAAAGAAGCAATACAGAAAATGCCAAGGCAATTTGCACCACAGAGCCTCTACAACATGCTGGGTGAGTGTGCTTTTGTTTCAGGATCATGAGAATAAATCGATATTACTGTCCCTTTAAACAGTCTGAGAAATCCCAGATTATGATCATTCACAATGTTTGGGTTGATACCTGTGAACCTGCAATAAGGTAACGCCTCAAACACGCTGCTTCCCTGTGAGCAATGGTGGACAAGCTAAACACGCTATTTATGGGAAGCTAATGCTAAAGTGCTATACTGACACAGTATATTTGGATCTAATGCTAAAGCGTTGCACCAACACAATATTAGCAGAAGCTAATGGTAAACCAACATGGTATTGAGCTGAAGCTAAGAAAAAACCCAGAAAAGTAAAGATATTCATATAGCTCAATAACCGCCTCAGAAAACAAATCAAAGTTATCCCATCTCACATTGTGAAATGAGAAGTTTGACCTGAACGGGGGCGTTCTGACAGAAAAACCTGTTTTAACAAGGCAGTAATAGGTTTTTGTTAACATGTTGAACAGATTTAATCTGCAGCTCTGGTTGTTGGGCTGCAGCTGCACACCAGCTGTTCTCAGACTCATTCCTCTGCTCTTGATTTCATTATCTTTCCTCTAACCTTCCCACTTCTTCCTTTCAAACCTTTGCCGTTTAATATTTACACAAAGAGACAAACGGTTGAAACCTGGGATGTCTGTAATCCAGACCTGGTAATGCCCCGGGCTTGTTTGTGTGTTGGCAGAATACAATATGACAGAGCTTTGGAGATTATGTCAAAACGTTGATTAAAGCTCCCGGCACCATTAAGGGGCGACACGGCGTTTCAAATGGAGGCGCTGGGCCAGAGATCTGTGATTTCTGCTGCTTAGTGCCGCTTCCTCGCTGGACTGATTTGCACATTTGGCTCTGGTGCTCATATCTGTTTCCAGTTTCGCTCACTTTGCTCCTCTCATGCTGCTTGTCAGACGCCAGCGAGCAGCAGCTTTCATCAGAGGCAGACCTGGGTGGTAATCTGCACCCTGCTGGTCTCCCTCCAACGCTCTCTGGTGGGCTCAGGAATGCTGCTCACTCTCAAACCGGTTCGCAGCTCCTTGGACTCGGTGTCACTTCTAATTGCATGTTAGTTTTTGTGCTTATCTCAGACACAGAACCTCTGCCAGGGAGCAGAGCCATCAATAAAACAGGAGGTCAGAGATAAAAACCTGCAAATAACAGAATCCAGATAAACCTCACTGTACAGACACTCAGATTAGATTAAAGTTACAGAAATAATTATTTATTGGAGTAACCGCAGGGCTCCCTTATTGAATCCAAAATGAGGTTAAGGACTCGGGTTGAGTTTCAGAACTTGCATAGTAGACATGGGAATATGAAAAAGAAATGACAGAATGGAAACCGTGTGGTTCTGAAGAAAACGTTTGTCTCCTATAAATCTCAGTTTCTCGGCAACCGTATTCATGATAATGTAACATAAATAATGGATTTTCAACCTGATAAAAACAAGGCTGAATAGATGGAGCCATATTCTTAATTTTCCAATTCTAACCCGCTGTAAATTTATATGAAATAATCCATTATTTAAATCAGCAAGTTTTAACACACTGCCTCCCAGACTGCAGCTCCATTCAATTCTATTCAGTTTATTTTATTTCTATAAAGCCATTTCAACAAAGGCATTTCAGTTCAATCACTTTCAGTTCATTATTAAAATAATCTTAAAAATTTTCTAAGGAACTCAGCAGCTCATCGAGCCATTGACTTACTGAATTCATTCCTCTGCACCAGCAGGGGGCGACAGCACGCAGTCACATGTGTTGAGGCATTGCTGTGACTGAGCATGCATGTGGCAACAGTGGAGAGAAAAACTACCCGTTAACAGAGGAAACCTTTTAACGGGTTCAGAACGTTTCAAACAATTCTTCAGGCTGCTATCTAACATCAGATGAACTTTATGTATTTATGTTTTTGTATTTGTCTGTGGAATGTAAAAATAACTCAGTCAGTCTTTGACTATGAGTGCAGTGGCCGACACGTACAAACACACATCAACAGTAAAACACATGGATGATGCAAACTCCAAAACACAAAAACAGAAATGCAACAGAAAAACGCTGCAAATAAAAACTGAGTCACAAAGAATAGAACCAAAAACCTGCAATTAATAAAAAAATGTGAATGAAAAATCAGCAGACACAGGAAGGAGATGCTAACAGGGAAACGCTGCAAACTGCAAAAACAACTGCATGCATAAAATGTTGCCAACTCGCTACATAACAAGGAAGTCCTCCAGGCCACTAGGGGGAGTCTGGAATCAGTAATATGTAAGTTAAGATGCTGATGAAAAAGACATGAAGTGTAACAAACTTTCTCGTCAGTGAGTTTGCAGCTTTTCATTTTTGCTGCTGTTTTTACTCATGTGGCGTTTCCCCTCTTGCTCCTGTTGTTGCAGAATTTTGTTTGTTGCATCGTTTTCCATTTGCATTTGTTTTGTTGGTTGTAGGTTTTTTTGTCCATTTTCTGGGTATTTTTTGGTTGCAGTGTTTTTCTGTTGTGTCTGTTGTGTGTTTTGAAGCGTCTGGCTCTTGCAGCTCCTTGTTACGCCTGTCGGCCACCGTTTGTGAGGACTGTCACCAGAAGAAGAGCAGGAAGCAGTTTGGTGTCTTGGCCTGTGACTCTGTGACGCCTGATCTGACCTTCTGACCCCCAGGTGAAGCCTACATGCGCCTGAACAAGCTGCCTGAAGCGGAGCACTGGTACAGGGAGTCGCTGAGAGCCAAGCCGGACCACATTCCTGCTCACCTCACCTACGGAAAACTCCTGGCTATCACAGTAAGACTTCATTTGAAGCTCCGGAATAAGTAATCTGGATCACACTCAGCTTACAGGATGTTCTGTAATTCAATGCAGCAACTAGTTTTAGCTCATTATCTCTTATTTCACAGTTATGTTTCTGTGGAGAGGTTTCCTCATCACAATATTGATAGTGGTGGAATGAAGCGCCAGTCCTCCTGTGTCATTTCCTCTTGTCTCTTCTCCAACATGCCAGACATTCATTCAGCCTGCAGAGCTGAATGAAAGGCTGCTGATGAGGGGATTCAGCTGCACTGCAGCAGCCAGACGTTTCAGGAACTCAGGTTTAGGTTTCAGCTCAACATTAAAACCTTCTTCAGTGAAATCTCATTCATGTTGTATCTTTGAAGAAACAGAAAGCCAACTTCCTAAAACATAGTGAAAAATAAAAAAGTAGCTGCTTGGCTTCCTTCTGCATCTCAATGAGCAGAAAAAGTTTCTAAAGATTCATCTTTTATTGAATCTCTTTCTCTCTCACTGTCTGGCCCTAAAGGAACAGACGTGAATAAAAGGCAATGTTTTGATTCCTACTGAAAACTTCCTGAACTCTGAATTTTCCACCTGAACAGAAGTTAAAATTACCGATGGATGGATGGATGGATGGATGGATGGATGGATGGATGAATGAATGAATGAATGAATGAATGAATGAATGGATGGATGGATGGATGGATGGATGGATGGATGGATGGATGGATGGATGGATGGATGGATGATTCTGTTTGTTGTATTTATGTTTGAAAAATGATGGGAATTATTAGTTTGATGCATTTAATGATTGAAAATAAAATCAGATTTTTCAGTATTGATCACTGATCAGCTATCAAGTGTTTGATTGGTGCCTGTCCAGCTTTCTCCTTGTTGTCCTCACTTATCAGTCTTGGAATCTTGCAGGGAATCTTTGTTCTCAAAAAGTTTAAAAGTTTAGGTTTAATAACCTAAAGTAAATGTCGATGCTGCTTTCTCTGCTGTTAAATTAAGGAGAGGAAAAGTTCAGCTGTCTGTAACACCTAGCAACACCTAAGGATCCATGTCTATCACACTGTGAGGTCGGCTGATAAATCCATGCAGAACCTGAGGAGTAAAACCTGGAGCTGGTCGTTCAGAGGTTCTGTTCATTTCAACAGATCCAGAAAATAGTTTGGCATAAATTCAGGTTTTACTTTATAGCAAAGCTAAAACAATAATTCCATTTACATTTACATCATTGTAATAGCAAAGGAAAATTGTCTTAATCTGAATATAAACCCTGTTTTGTTCTTGCATAACCTGCCTGTGTTATCGTGCTGGTAATCTTTGCATAATGAGTTTAAATTGGGCTTTGAGCGTCAGGCTGGATGAGTTTTCTGTTCTTTTACTGTCTGAACAAACAGATGAGCTAAGAGTCGCTGTGTGAGCTGGTTTGAGGTGAAAACAGAGTTCAGACCTTCAGGACGATCATCGTGTCTGGACGCCGCTGCCCGTTGCTGCCTGCATGCAGCTCCTGATCGCAGCCTTTAGCTGCCGCCTCGCATGTCAGCAGGTTTAAATGATCAAACGCAGAGCAGGAAGTGGACCGGCCTGCAGCCCTCAGCCTCCGCTCCCTGAGGAACAACTCTTCATGATGAAGACACTTCAGATGCTGGCTGGGTTTCAGGTTCACTTCCCCACAAGCTGCAGGGAGGCTGCAGGATGGCGCTCTGCTGCAGGGCCACACAGGGGTCACACAGGGTCACACAGGGGTCACAGAGGAGTCACTGAGGATGGTAGCTGACATCTGGAGTTCATGATGAAGATCAGTCCTGGGTTTCAGGTCATGAAGGCGCCGCCTGCTGGGACGCATGTTGACATTTTTCCGACATTTTTCCGTCACTTCCGCGGCTAACACGAAGCAGACGTCAGAGTCCGCCTCAAACCGGACCGGGACCGAGGCTTTTAGGCGGTTTGATCAGAGTCCGCTGGTTTGAGGCGGACTCTGATCAGTCTAAAATCTCAGGAACATTTATTTGCAAAAGTTTCTCTGCGTTTTCCTACCTCTGAGGACGTTGTTCTGTTTTTCTAAGTCTATGTAAACTATTCAAACTATGTAATCATAAAACAGTCATGAACTCAAGTGTTCAGTCCGCCTTAATCCAACTCCAGTCCGCCTTAATCCAACTCCAGTCCGCCTTAATCCAACTCCAGTCCACATTAATCCAACTCCAGTCCGCCTTAATCCAACTCCAGTCCGCCTTAATCCAACTCCAGTCCGCCCTATTCCAACTCCAGTCCACCTTAATCCAACTCCAGTCCGTTTGTCTAGAAAGTCCGGTTCGGCTGGGAAAATCTGAATGCAAACGCCGGTCTGGGTTCGGTTGAAATAAACTCTGGTTTGGTTTGAATACATATGTGAACACCTGGGAGACTGGAGACCACAGCGCAGGGCATTCTGGGTAAATACAAACAAAACAAACATATTAGCCTAGCAATAGCAGGAGAAATGTCTTTTACCAAAGACAAAAGAGAAATCCTCCAAGTGCTAAAATCTGACTCCATTTTTGTTTCCATTTGGTGAAGGACGTTGCACTTCAGAGGTTTTTTCAGTGGTTCTTGGTGCAGCGCCCCCACAGGCCAGGAGGGGAACAGGTTGGTTTGACTCAGAGCAGAGAGAAAGAACCACAGCAGCTGGAGATGCAGCAGATGCTGCTGTTTTCGTCTCCAATCGAACTGAGTCTACTGGGCTTTCAGGTGTTAAACATCCTCAGATTTTCTGCTTGCTCTGGTCGGTCTGAGCTGTGATTGGTTCCTTGTTCCAGTCTGCAGAGAGTAAAGGAGCTCTGTGCATCTGAAGAGTTTCAAACCTGCTGTTCCAACAGCCTCCAGTATTGATTCACTCGTCTCTCTAAAGGCCGGAGTAACCGTTCGATTGAATAAAACTTGTGTGATCCTTATAAATATCCAAGTCTCCAAGTCCCTGCAGACCCATAAGGTTCTCTGTGGCTGCGCTCACACACTTTCCACACACTGTCCTGTTTCATCAGGCCACACACACACAGACACACACATGCTGGCCTCCGATGCTTCTGCTCTGGAAGTGTTTCTCCCTCAGATTAAAGCGGTAATGAACGAGCCTTCTCTGGGCCAAACATGACACTGTGCACTTTTGACGGATGACACGTGAGGAGGAGAGAATAACACTTGTGGTTCCCATGTTTCATGTCCGTTTATTGGGATTTATTGTTGCAGCAGTCTGTGGTTGAGGTGCAGGGCATTGGGTTCATGCAGAGGTGTCTGGGCTGCTGAGCAGACCTTGGTGTTTTCATAATGAGCAGCTTTGAGAAGTGGGTGCAGAAATAATGACGCTGCTTCTAATCCTTCCCTCTCAGGGGCAGAAAACAGAAGCTGAGCGCTACTTCCTGAAGGCCATCCAACTGGATCCCACTAAGGGCAACTGCTACATGCATTACGGTGGGATTTCTGTTTTTATTTCAAATTGACACATCCTGACTTCTTATTCTCACATCTCAGTTATTTGATTTGGCTGTTGAAGACGTTCTGCACAAAGGCAGGAATTTACACATTTTGGACGCCTGTTTGGACAAGTGTTTGTTGACCCTTTTTGTCACGTCTCCCTCCAAACATCAAGAATCTCTATCTGTGTGTGGTTAGAGAGTTTTATGAGAACAGAGGATGACTTCCTCTCATTGTTCACTTCAGTTTGATGCGGACATGGAACGTGACGATTTCAGCGTCTCTCTTGTCTTCCATCATTTTTAAATCTCTTATAAACATTCAGTTTTATTATCATGTTAAATTAATCATATTTTTCTTTAAAGATGTCAGCTGACTGTCAATACAAAATATAAGAAAATTATGTGAATAAAGATGTTATGGCACAGGGTTTACCATGAAGACACTAGTGGACCTCAGAAAGTTGGAGGGAAGACCAGAAAAAATATAGAAATGTAAAAAATAGATACATTTTATTTTTTACCGATGTTGGTGACATTCCAAACCTAAATGTATGCATACAAAAAAAGCCTCCGAAGCCGCTGAGCTTTTTGTGACTTCAGCCAGTTTTTTACAGTCAGAAACGTCCCTGAGGTCAGTCAGGCAATCTGCTGAAGGTCAGTGGGAGGTTCAGCGGTGACGGTGCTAACAAAGTCAAACACGGTGATAATTCCTCTTTATTCTGGACCTTCCAAGGATCCCTAAATCTGCAGCCTTGCTGGTCCTCCTTGATCCCATCAGAGGTTCACTGTAAGTCAGGTATGCCAATGAAAGTTAAAATCTTTTCCAAGAAACGTTTTAACCAAACATCCACTGATCTATCAGGGTCAGCTAATCTGACCAAACAGGGATGGTTTGTAAAGTTCCTATCTGGTGTTTCAGCGCAGGCCTGAGCCAAAGTAAACGTTGTTACAGCGTGTCCCTCTGCGCCTTCAGGAGGATCTGCTCATGTTTTAACAGGACTGCTGTTTTCTCCTGCAGGTCAGTTTTTACTGGAAGAGTCACGGCTCCTGGAAGCAGCAGAGATGGCGAAGACGGCCGCCCGCCTCGACGGTGGGGAGTTCGATGTGGTGTTCAGCGCTGCTCACATGCTCAGGTAAGGCCGTCAACACAGACCTCTCTCTGTCTTATTTTTGATTTCTGCGGTCTAGGTGCGCGCACGCAGATGCTGCACAGTATTCCAGAACGGTTTTCCTTGGCTGGGCCGAAAGCAGTGTGTCTGCACGCTTTATCCGAGGGCTTACTCCATTCCTCCGCCTGCGTGATTTTCTTGGCTGGACGTTGTAATCCCTCTCTCTCTGAACGGTGGTGGAATCCAGAACTGAAGCTTTAACTCATCGCAGCGAGAGATGTTCAAACTTCAGCTGTCTCTGGATCTGAGTCTCACTTGGAAATGTGTTTGTTTGATGAGGCTGAGCAGAAAAGCTCTGCAGCCGGAGAGTCGGTGAACATGAGTCATGATTGGAAAAAGCGTCAATGCTGAACACAACTTCAACCAGCAGAGACATCTTAGTTAAAACTTCTCATGCGTCATCGTTGGGATCCTGCGGGATCCACCGCGAACAGACTTCAGCGTAGAGACCACTGGAAGCCTAGGAGTTTCTCAGGCAATGCTTGGGTTGAACTCATCTCCGCCTGCTTGGCATGGGGTCCTGCTCTTCTGCAGCTCCGGCTCTTTATGTGTTTGTGTTGGACACGGACGTGGAAAGACCTACTAGATGCAGACAGAAGTGAATCTGTGCAGGAGAAGAGAAGAGATCACAGGGAGAAGCAGATACTTACCAGTGTGTAAATGTTGTTTATGGCTCTCTGGGGTTTTTGGGGCGTCAGCATTTGGATTCTGAACTAATAATTCCCGCCTGCCTCCTTTAACTCATCGCTGAAAATGTGAACGTAGAAATGCCAGGGTACATGTTTGAATTTTTAAGGTTTTTGCCTTTTTCCCAGGTTATGACTGATATTATAAACTGTTTCATGGTTAGGAGTTGGGTAAAGCCAAATATTACAAAGCAGTTGTTGTTTTAATTCAGAATAAAACAAAACTTTTTGCTTTGTGTGACCATGTCTCCTTTCAGGCACTTTTTCTCTCAGGTGGTTAAATCGGTTCAATAAACCTCCACGTCCTGAAAATCTTGAGCTGGTCGTTGGAAAATCCAAAGCTACTTCAAAATAAGAGCCTGAATATCAGTTAGATTTGACAGTTAGTATACAAAATTTCAACACAGATGTCAAAATTTATTTAGCTGAAAGTTTACAAAACAGCCAAATAATTTATTTAGGAGAAGCTAAGCTAAGTGCGCTAAGAGTTTTCACAGTTAGCAAAAATTAGCTGTGATTTTAGCACCTTAGTGGATTAGCGGAAGTGTGCCCAGCACAGTTAATTTCCAGGTTCAAAGTGAAGACATTAAATTAAAACCAGCAGAAATCTGATTGGTTATAAACTCACCAGGATTTATGGAGTCTCACTCTGAAGCCTCTGACCTGAATCCTGAGTCCTCACTGACGTCGGTTCGCTAACAGACTTTGACTTCCTAAATGAAGCTGTGGGTCCAGACGGCCGCCGGCTTTGATCCAGGTAATATCAGGCGCTGCTCACTCAGCCGTCCAGCCGCTGTCCTTGACTTTGTCAGAGGGAAATTATTTGCAATTAGGCGTTACTGCCATTAGGGAAAAACCTGCAGCTGTGGATCCTGAAGGTGGTTCTGCATTAGTTCAGATAAAGGAAACGTTGCTGCTGTTTGAGAACGAAACGCCACAGACTTTAAATAAAACACAATATTTATGACTCGACTGCAGAGCTGATCTCAGGCGTCGCATTTTTAGGTAAAGATCCTGACAAACGACCTTTCCTCAAATCCTGTTTGTCACAGTGAAACGAGACGTTTTCTTTGTATCTGTATCATTTATTCATTTTAATCTCATGACAAAGTAATCATGTTTTCTTTTTTGAATATCTTTGAATATATTGAACTGCAATAAACACCGACTACTTATGACTGTGTTTATTTGTAGCCTCCAATGAGCAGCTGCCTCCACCATCATAGCTAAACATTTCTGTGTTAAAAATACTTTTTAATTGGTCTCATGTAATATTAACATTTTTGAAGACTCTGAATTTGAGGTTTTTATCAAAATGAACTGAAATAACCGCTTGAAATCCATCAGTATTCTTTTATCTCGTTGAAGTGAATTTTCTTAAATATCCAGTGAACCAAACATCCCAAATCAACTGGATGTGAATGACTGACTGAAACTCCTCAAGTAATGAACCCTCAGGCTGTAATCCGTAAATCTGATTTTCATCCTGAAGCAGAGTCGGGTGATTTGCAGGTTTGAGCAGAAAGCAGAAAGTTCTCGTTGCGTTTCTTCATGCAGTTCCTCCATGTTATTTTCTCCATGACCCCTGGGAACCGGTAAACACTCCGGGTTCAAGGCCTGGGCCAAAGCCAGCAGCAATAAAACTGACTAACGATCGCCTCTCCCTGTTTTTCCCTTTTCAGACAAGCCAAGCTCAACGAAGCAGCCGAGAAGTATTACGGACAAGCAGCGAGCCTGAGACCCAACGTGAGTAAAGCCTTGACTTGCTATTCCTCCTCATTACCTTTCACTTTGATGGACGCGCTGCAATTACGGTCAGACTGACTTTCCAATATCATTACTGGCCGTTCTGCCTCTAACAACAGGATTCATTGTCAGTCCTGCTCAGAATAATGAGTTCTTGGGTTTTCCTGAGCTCAGAGGTTTGCTTGTGCAACATCCATCAACAAGTTCAAAGGAGGGGCCGGAGTAAGCAGATTGGAAAGAATAATGATACGAACACCGAGCCGGAGGACGGGGATCCTGAAACTGACGGGACGGGTCCGCTTGTTTGAGGGGGGGAGTGTGTTTAGCATGCGGTCATCCTGTTTGTTTCCCGGCGCTGATTGGAAACAGACAGCTGTGGATTAATGATCAAATACATCTTTACAATGTTTTACAGGAATCATAGTTTGGCCTTTTCTGCACACAAACCCGGGTAAAATATGAAGAAACGTTGTCAAACAAGAGCAGGCAGGACTCCACAGAAGTCATGGAGTTCAGATCTGAGTAGGTTTGGTGGTAAAAATGTCAAATTAAAGTCAGATTTCTCTCCAAACATCTAATTAAAACTCAGAACAAATGAGAGAAATCTGCCTCATCCTGAAGCTGCAAGAATTCACCTGAAAAACTTTTGCAATGTTTTGATGTTTGTGGAAAATACTATAAAGCACCAGGTTCCCAACATGAGGACATGACATCCTGTTGTGTCGGTAGATGCAATTATAATGAAAAAATAGAAAAAACTGCTAAACCTTGCATTTGTCAGAGGCCATTAGTAATTTTTATCCAAAATCAATGAGAACCACTGTGGAAGCCGCAGGTTGATGACCTGTGTGTCAGGGCAGTAGAATGTCAGTAAAATCACTAAGAATCCAAAATAAGATCATTTCTGAAAATAAAGACGTGGAACGATTCACCCCTGTTTGAAAAGAATTTTGTTTATTAGTCAGAAAAACGAGGAGATTTCCTGTTTGACGTGGTTTATAGAGAATCCAGAGAATCCCGCTGATGCAGTGGATCCCAGCAGAGCAGGATCTCCAGGCTGCATGGCGTTAAAAACAGACGCGGTTCTGTTGTGAAAGTCGCTGCATGAGTCAGGAACGTTTCAGTTCACCATATTAAAACAAGATGCAGCTTTGGCTCCGCCTACTGCTGGCTCAGCCGCGGCTCAAGGAGAAATGCAAACAGATTGTTAAACAGTAAAACAACAGGATCTTTGATTTTTAATCATGTTACTGATTATTAATCCATTTTGTTGTCAGACAACATTTATACAGTAAGTATCCATGATGGTTTAGCGCTTTAACTCATCCTATGACTGAGTAAAAAACAGGAACAGCCAGCAGCTGGCAGGATTCACCACACTATGAGATGAATATGAAAATATAAAAATATTTATGTGGAGCACAAACAGAGAAAGGAAGGTAAATCACTCTCTGTGAACAAAATGATGCGGCTTTCATCACGTGTCAACGAGAGTCGATTTGCACTCTGGATGTGAGAAGCTTCAGGAAGCTTTGGGCTCTGACATTTCTTCACCTGGGCGATGCAGGCTGGGTCCAGGATGTGTAGCTTTTACTGGACTCTAAAAGAAACAAAACACAAAATTTGTTGACAAAATTGCAGCAAGTTGCCTCAAAGTTTTAATGAATCATTTTACACAAGATATCTGTTGAAACAAGCTAATGTGATTGGCTTCTGATTAGCTAGAGCTAACGCCATCAGGTAGAGCTAACATCATTAGCTAGTGCTAACACCATCAGCTAGAGCTAACATCATTAGCTAGTGCTAACACCATCAGGTAGAGCTAACATCATTAGCTAGTGCTAACACCATTAACTAGTGCTAACACCATCAGGTAGAGCTAACATCATTAGCTAGAGCTAACACCATCAGCTAGAGCTAACACCATTAGCAGTAGCAAACACCAAAACAAATTAAAAGTAATGAATGGATCCTTAAAGTGAGAGTCTTTGTAACAAACCATTCTAATATATTTGAGAAAATTTTTGATCCCGATGCTAACTGTAAGCACAGTTAGCATAATCAGCATTGTGCAGCGTTGGCTCTCCTTTCAGGTCGGCGTTTCAGCAGCAGCAGAAAAACCAACAGGACTCTCTCCTCTTCCTCTGTTTCGTCCTTGTCTTCATTTCTACTCATTATTTCTCCATTTCCTTCTATTTCAAAGCCTCCCAGTTCAAACTGGAAGGGCTGAAGGTTTCTAATTGAGCAATAAATACTGTTCTGGCTTGACAGGGCTAGCTTCATAGCACCTAGCGCCATCTACCCAGGATGCATTGCAGTGGGAATGACACTGTGTGTTTTATTTAAACTAATAAAAACTAAACATCCTGTTGAATGTGTCTCAGATAAAGTTTGTTGTTAAACTAACAGTGGATCTCTTTATAGTCGTGGCAGTTTTCCTAATTGTGATCAAATGATGAAAACTGAACCGTCAGATGTGGGAAGGTGTTACGAAACTTTTGTATTACGGCTTCACATCTTCCTACACCACCGCAGCAAAAGGAAGATGCACGGTATAATTTACTCGGCTCTTAATCAGCGCAGCTGTTTTGCATTAATCATGTTGCATATGCGCGCTGTCAGGCTGAGAGAACCATTCCCAACCAAGTCCTTCAGCAGGAGATAAATCCAGTTTGATTCTCGGTCAGAACCATCTGGTCTCTGCAACCTGCAGACTTTTTCCTTCTTATGCCTTCAAATTCTTTCTAAAGTCATGAAGGTCAAGCCTTTCCTCCGTCAGTTTGCCATGTGGCCCTGGCTCTTCTGCTCTGTGCCCGGAGACGCAGCAGCGCAGGAGGAAATGAGGGATGAAGAGAAATAAAGGCTTCTGAAAACAGCAACTTTCTGCTGAATCTGGGGGAGCCAGGAAAAAAGGGTGCAAATAAAAAACCGTCTCAGATATATGAAGTGAAAAAGGCAGAAGATTGTTTTGGACATGAAGGAAGATTTTTATAGAATTCAAATTAAGACCACTTGGTTTTGCAGATATTTTAAAATAAATATTTTTGCTCAAATACTGTTTATTTTGTTTATCATTTTAAAGTTTCAAACACATAACAGTAGATTTTAGTTGTTGTTATTCTCTTTAAACTTCTAACTTTATTTAATGCATAAATTCAGATGAGCCGATGGGAATCTTCACCTCTATGCTGTTAATCAGAAGTTTCCTGCGTTTTACCTCTGGTTGCTCACTTCAGATGCATTTGAGGTTTTAAACAAGAAAATGAAAACATTTTGAATTTAGTTGAATCTGCAAATTTCAAATTGATTTCAATCTAAAAACATAAGCATTTGTATTTGTTCAGTGGACCTTTTCTCCTTTAACTTACGCCGCCCGTGTCGAGAGGCCATGCAGGTTATTATTTTACCATTTCGTTGTCCAGTCAAGGCTTTTCTCCCTGGAGTTATGATTAATGCACCATTTAAACCCACTTAGCTCACAAACTCACAATAAAATGCGACTGCACTCTGAATCTTTAGTAAAAGATTAAAGTTATAGTTATACGATAAACACCTATTTGTCACCTGGAGATGTTGGATGCAGTGTTTGTGTGAGGTCTGTTCATTACTACTATTACTTCAAATCATGTCCATGTGTATAAACAATCCATCTCCAAGCATTATTTTGTGGTGTGGCCCTAAAGCGGTGAGGTCAAGCTGAAGGTAATTTATTGCACAAACAGTCTCAGAGTGACAGCAGCCATTACGTCGCAGAGCTGCAGCTGCTTCTGCAGCATGAAGGAGAGGCAGCGGATCGCTCAGACCAGGCCACAGGGCAGCCAATAACAACAAAGTTTTTCTTATTTGTTAGTTTGATTCTGAATTAAGAATAATTCATTCAAAATCGACAATTAATTTTCCAGTCATTAAGTCTCCCCACATCTCAGTCTTTTCATTTCTGGGAGGTAGAAATGTCTTGTAACCCAAATTTGACATATTTCTGATTATTTTGCTAATTATTCCACTCATACATACAGATACAGAGCTTTGCAAAAGTAATCACACCCTTTAAATGAGGGGTGTTGTGTATTTTCCTGGCACATTGTGACATTTTATAGCACGATGTAACTATAGCTGTTTCCATCAACATTTTTTATTTTGAAGTGTTGCATAAGGAAAGATTGATGGAAACAGTAGAATTTCTAAAAACTTGTGTTAGATTGGAAGATTCCTGACATGCATGACTGAATCAAAGCAACACTGCAGGTAGTTTTGTGATGAGAGGATAACATTTTAACATGATGTAAAGCTTTAAAAAGTCGCTCTGCATCATTCTGCCCCTTTGTTCATATTCTGTTACAATCACAATCTGCTTGAGGTTTTTTCTGACAATCTAAACAAAACATTCATCATTGTGACATGGAAAGGAAACAATGTTTGGTTTTAGGATTTTTTTTTTTACCAAGAAAAATCTGAAAAGTGTGGCATGTATTTATATTTGCCCCCCTGAGTCCTTTGTGGCCCACGCTTTGCTGCAGCTGCTCCTGTATGTTTAGAGTTGAAGATTTTAGTTTTCTGCTACCTGAGTTGTAGCTCTCTGCAGCTCCTCCACAGTTACCAGGTGGTTATCGCTGTCCTTCCTGTCAGCCCAGGTCGACGTCCGTGTCCCAGTAGATCTGCATGTCTCCTCTGCAGCTTGTTCTCCAACACCAGAACCAGAACAGCTGCATTTATTCAGAGATTAAATTAACCTCAGCTGATTAAAGAGACGTCTCAGTGGTTAATAATTACATGGAAAACATAGATTTCAAGGAACAAAATGATTTTTCTTCTGTGAAATGCAGAAATGCTGATAAACTCAGCAGCAGACCCGGAGCTGCTCTGCTGCATGAGGCATTTTTTCCACATCTCTAACCAAAATGGTGATCAGATGTTGCCCCTCCCTTGGCCTACATACTTCTTGGTCTTGACATGATTGCACCCGAGGCACTTTTCCTGTACTTATATCTCCATGACTCATCCGTCACACTGATTATGACTTTGCCCATTGGCACCAGCAGAAATAAACATCTTGAGCCACTTCAAAGCGGCGGCTGCTCCCTCTGACATCGATGGCCGCAGACCAGACGCAGGGACAGGCGCGGCGACGTTCTTCCCAAACGCCGCGCAGTTCGGCCGATCTGACAACGGCGCGCTCGTATCGCTGAGGCTCTGCTATGATGACTCAATGCTCCACTACGGCTAAAGAGCATATCATGTAACACTTTGAATCATCTGCAGGATCAGATGTTTGTAACAGAAGCTGAGATGCCTGTGAGGAAATTCAGCGTTTGTGTTTTTTGGAGTTTTACTCCCTCCATGTCGTCACTCAGAGAAAAGACGATGAACCACATATCATTCCCTGCTAAAATATTCAGTATGAACAGACAGGCTGCATTATTCATCAGCACTGATGTGGTGAAATGTGAATTTCTAATCTCATTATGTCTCCAGTCTAAACACATCAGCTTTAGATAGTATGTCAGCTCTTTCTCAGGAAGCTCCATTATGTGCTTTTAGCTGATCGGATCGATTCGTTTGCAGGTCCAGTCGTCTTTGGCAGAACTCAGTCAGCATCCAGCATACTGAGTTAGTAATTAGTAACTCTTCCAGACGCTCTGATTTGTCAGGATTTTTCTACTCCTCTCTTAAAGGGACCCCACAGAATTTCTGTCAGATTTAGTTTTTGACTTTTGTTTCCAGTTTTGGACACACATCCACTAATCTGCTAATCCATTACTTTGTTGTTTAACACGTTTATGTTTTTGCTAGCTTTAAAAACATTTAGCACATTGTGCATTCTAGTGTGTTAATTTACTCAGTTTATTAATCTTTCAGTTGAATAAAGTTTGACATCTGTGATGAAGTTTTGGTTGTCGAGTATTAGAGGTGAACATTTATGCAAAATTCATGTTTTGCATATTGTTGTACAGTTTAGGTCTCAACTGTTTCTGAAAACAACCAAAGCACTTTAAAAAACCACTCAGCCGTGTTTTTGGCTGTAAGTTCATGTTTTTTAGTGTCTGGAAAATGGACTGTTTCAAAGAACTCCTGATTGAGTCACATTCAATAAGCACTCTGCCGTAACCTGGCAACCCAAGCTGAGCTCCAGCACGTTTGATCAGCTGGTTTAACCGCTGTACAATGGCTGCTGGATAAGGTCAATGTTTTGCTGTTGACTTGCCATCCAGAAACCACTTGCTGCGTTCTTGTATGTTTATATAACTGTGCATCTGTTTGCAGCCATTTTCACACGTAAATGTAAACGATGAGTTGGGGGGCGTGGCCAGCAGCAGCTTATTTGGATTTAAAGCAACAGAGGCCATAAAACAGCTCACTCTGTTGTTTTAGGCAGACTGAAATATCATCATCTAAGAATGGTTTTGTGCAGAAAATTTCATGAACATATTTTGTTTAGTCCATAGACTTATCTTAACCTGTTCAAGGAAGCATAGTAGAAAACTTCAGCTAGTTAGTAGCTCCAGTACACCAGCTAAATATCTCAACGACAGCTGATTGGATCCTAAAATGGTCATTTGTGTTTGCCTCAGTACCCTGCAGCTCTGATGAACCTCGGAGCGATCCTCCACCTCAACGGGAAACTGCAAGAAGCCGAAGCCAATTACCTTCGGGCTCTTCAGCTGAAACCAGACGACACCATCACCCAGTCGAATTTACGTAAGCTTTGGAACATCATGGAGAAGCAGGGCCTGAGGACCACGACTCCCTGAGATCTCCCGTCCCGCCTACACACCATCTGCGCTCCAGACCCGGGGAGACGGGCGGCCTACGTGCCCTCGTTCTGTTTTCTCATCCAGGAGAGAAGGACCGAGGGAGGACGTTTGCAGAGACACGTTGTGCCGCACAGCCTCCCCCCCACTAATCACCTCTGAGCTCTGCAAACACCTCAGGCCTGCAGCTTTGCTCAGGATTGCTTACAGTCAGGAAGGCCCTGCGTGATATCTGGCTTCCTTTCTGCAGATTTACTGCTTTCATATTTTATTCAAGAATACTTCAAGTTAAAGTGAAGCCACAGGTTCATCGCTGCCGCAGAATGAGGTATGAAAAACACAGAGGGGAGCACTGAAGGACTTTCTGTCAAATTTTAGTTTCACTTCATGTTTTTTTCTTGAAAATGAAGGAAAGAAGGTACATATGAAGAACTGGACACAATTTAACTTCTTAAAATTTAATTTATAGTCTCTGCTTTTAAACCTTCTCATTCTCACATTAATCTGAAATTGCACCACATATTGATTCCTAAAGTAGCAACTGTCCTGATATTCAGAGAAAAACATAAAAAGGGAATGCAGAGTATCTGTTTCAGCACAATAAGAGTCTGTAAGGCCTCCAAAGGGCTGCAGTTAACCTCACTAATCTGTTTTAGCAAGCTTCGAAATGGTCTTCATTCCAGTGGTATTTTTATTCTTCACTTCTAAATATTAAACTACCATCACCATTAAAAGCTGAAAGCTTCAGGTTGCAGATGGAAAACCTTCCCAGGTTCCAAGAAGCTCAACAGGACCTGCAACAAAAGAGTTCAACCAGCCAAAAGGAAATGCTAAGCTAACGCTAAGCTAGTGTCCAACTTTTATCCTTACATAGATCAACACAGAGTCACAGCTCTTTGAAAGGGAAATGTTTAAATGCCTTTATGCTTAGGTAAAGTTATGTCATTGTGTTTGAATAAATATTAATATATAGCTGCCATGTTTTAGTACACAGAACAACACAGCAAACTGTAGCTCCATAACTGAGTGAGTTTGGCTTGTTACAATACGGTGAAGGGTTTTCGGTATCCTTAAAGCTGTTCTTAGGTCTCATCTGTATATATTTTGTCTAGTTTTCATATATTTGGTTTTTTTTGTCAGTTTTTAGTAAAAGAAAGAGCACCTTCATTAAAGTTTGTACAGTATTTGTTATTTGTTGGCCCCAGTCCTATTCATAGAGTTATTGCTCTGTTACCTGTGATTAGTGATATCCAGAACCAGTGGTGGGTACATGCATGCTATTAGCAGAGCTAATTTTTCATTTAGCGTGTTAGCATTTTTGCTAACTTTGAAAACACTTAACACCCTCAGCTTCTCTTAAATTAATATTTTCAGAGACATTCTAATTTAGTTGCCTGTTTTGGAAACTTTAAGTTAAATAAAGTTCATCATCTGAGTTGAAGTTTTTATCAACTGTCAAGAATTCCTCAAGTTGTCAGACATTTTTCTTCATGCTCTTATTTTGAAGTGTGTGAAGACTGTTCCACTTCCTGTCCTCACAATCGTTTTTCTCAAAACATTATCAGAAATAAAATACAATGAATTCAGAGCAGTTATTAATGTACATCTACACAGGTGAACAGAGTCCACTGAGGATTATTGACATAAATACCTTGAATAAGGTGCATATATCCAGTGTTTTTATATCCTGTGTTCTTCACTCATGGTGCAGTGCAGCAAGTTCATTCTTTACCCAGAATGCACTGCTGTAGTTCTACAGTAAATAGTTTAAAATGTCCAGTGTTTTCTGACTGAAGCCCTACCTTTAGGCAAAATTAGCAACAGATTTAGCAAAACTCAACTATAAAACTGAAACCATGAGTGAAAAATAAAAATTCCTTTGTGAAGAGCAAACCGTACTGTTAGGCGTGTAATGACAACTCCACCCTGTTGAGGGCGATGTAATAAGCTGTAACGTATTGTGTCATTGATGCACGTTGGGTACCAACATGGTTGAATTTAGCACTTAAGCATTAGCTTCTGCTCAATGCTATGTTGGTGCAGCAAGTTACCTGAACTAATATTTATGATCAGTGCAGCTGACATTTTTAGTTAGCGGTGCCCACCACTGTCCAGAGCTAAACCCAGGTACCAGATCGGACTCCAGATAGAGCCGTTGTTAAATGATCGGGATCAAGACCTCAGATACTTCCTGTTGAGTCTCTTCATCAGCTGGACCATCGGTTTTGTGCTGTCAGCTTTTAAATATCCCGATCTATTCTCATGTTTATTACAAGAGTATTATATAGCACATTTCTTTTCGATCTAGCGGGTCTGGGTTTCCCCCAAAGTCACTCTTATGAAGGTGATTAGAGTTTACTGCGGACAGCAGCTTCCAGTCAGTCTGTCTATTGGAGACAGACAGACTGACTGGAAGCTGAATGTTGTTCTCATTTGTCCCCACAAAGTAGCTGAATCACTTAAATATTAAAAAAAAAAAAATTCTGAGTTTATAAAGCACAAAACCAACTGGAACAAGATTGAAATATTTTACAAAGTGAATTATGAAATCTTTATCAAAGTGAGAACAAACATGCTTGAGTTGTTTTTATTTTACTGCACTTTAAAGCTACTATTAAGGCTTATACAGTGCTCTGAAAAAGTATTGCCTTCAAAGATCTCTGTAGTTTTTTTAGATTTATTGTCACTTAAGTATTTCAGAATTAAACAGACAACCTTTCTTTCAGGCAAAGATAACTGGACAAACATAAAGTACAACTAAAATGATGATTTCACTCTGGTCTGCCATTTTGTAATTTGCAGATAGAGATTTGATTAGCTTGTTACGCAAAAACTTTTCACTGCCAAATTTATTAAAAGATGTTGACAACACATGACTTATCCATCCAGCCTTTCATGTTGGAGCCAGGAAATGTTACCACATTATGAATGAACACGTGTTGTAAACAAGGCACAGTTAGAGTTATGTTAGCACCAAGAATGTCACTGACTGCGTTTGGATCATGGGTTCCCCAAGACAAAATCTGCAAAAACAAAGGAAACCCATGACCTTGTTTAGCAGTTCTGCAGCAAATACTTTATAAACAGAATATAACGATATCTATGCAGCACCAGGAGAGACTAAATCCAACTTTCCTACACAACAAAATGTATTTAAGGGCTAAAAAAGTAGCTTTTTCATATCTCCCGTTTAGTATACTGTGCTATGATAAGCATTTGGTTCATACTCAAAAACCCTCCAATATGGCTGAAATAACCTAAGTTTTCAGAGTGATTCAAAACTTTCCCCCAGACTCATTTCCACATAACCTTTAAATGCCTTCATTAATTGAAATAATCATTTATACACTCTATTTTCTGCATGTATTCAGATTATCTGTGCTGATTTTAAAATTTCTTTGATATTCTGAAACAGCAGACAGTAAAAAACCTGTTGGAGAAACTTTTTTCTAGCACTGTATGTAGCGTTGATTCTAATGAAGGGTCCAACTGGGACGATTCTGATCCCAGCTGTTAGCAGAACCAGCTGGAACTGTGTTGTTTTTTTCACATGTAAAATGAAGGAAGATCATTTGATGGAGCTTCTGCACGTTTCTGGTCATTACTGAAGAAAATTCACAAACACGGCTAATGTAGCTATTTACACAACACCTGCTTCAGGAGGCTGAGACTTTGTTATATGAAGCAGTCACATTGTCGTCTGCACGGTGCTGTTTCTTTACTGTGATGGTGGTAAGGAAACGTTAAGAGTTCGCGTTGATTTCCTGCCTCCCTCACACATCCATACACTCATTCCTGGTGTAAATATTTAAAGTGTTGATGAGGAAACAAGATTTTTAATGTCTGTAAGAAGGTGTGAAAAGAAAAAGTGTTTCACTCTGTGTCTCTGCTCAGGGATCTCAAGCAGTGGGCTATTGCAGAAACTTGTTCACAGAGAATTTACTAAATTAAAATTTATTTTTGAAATGTGTTGTATTTGTATAAATTATCAGGATTTGTAGCCCTGTCCTCCTTTTTTGTAAAATAAAAACTGAACAATGTGCAAGAAGAAGTCTTTTCATCCTCTGTTTTTTCACAAAACATTTGATATTTCTGCTCACTGGTTTGGCTTATAAAACTAAAGGTCTTCATCGTGGGATTAGCATGAAGAAGAGCACAAACATTAAAGAATCTCCGTCTTTCTTTTGTTTAATTACAGGTTGGCAATGTTCACCAGGCGCATATGCATGATTCCCATAAAGTTTTTATATATAACATTTGATTTTGAGAGTGAAATAGTTGTTCTACTGTGTTAGCATTTCGGAGCTAACATAGCCTCGCTAGCTCAGAGGCTAACTGCCTTTGTGGAGAGATAAATCATGTATTTCAGTTAGAAATGTATAAATTCAATGAGCAAAAATCTGCCCATTATGTTAAAAGTTAAGCTTTTCATGAAAAATAACAGTTTGTTCAGCATTTTTAGGCCATATCATTTGTATTCAAACATAATAGAAACACAAAATAAGGAAGCGGTGTATTATTTGTACTGAGTGCACATTGTATTAATAAGTCCAGTTTACTGTATGTCCATGTTGGGGATCCCTCAATAACATCGCTTATCAAAAAAAAACTATCTGCCAGGTTTTTAGTCCACAGCTTCAGTGAGGTAGTTTTTTATTCCTGTGGGATATTGGAGTTAATGCGGTGCTCTGCTGTGCAGCAGGGTTTACGGGCCATTATAAAATCCTCCCCTCGCAAATTTGCTAAAATGTGTCATAAAATCATCTCAGCTGCATCTCTGCCCCGCTTTGATCTTTCAACAACAAAGCCGACATGTAAATAATCCCATATGGAAAAGGGGCAGCGCAGTGTGAACACATGGCGGCTGAGCTCCGCTTCCAGCCGCCCCCACAGCTCAGACCCCGCTGATCAGCACCGGGCCGTCCCTGTGAACAAAACAGTCTGCCGAGTGACGCTTCTCACATGTCTGCTCCCCTGATCCAAGCTCTCCATGCTTTCCTTATTGGACCGGACGCCACCGACGCCGTCTCTTCCGCTTTGACTCTTCTTATCACAACAGAGGTGAGAAACTGAGTCTGTGGAGAAACAAGAACACATTTCATCTTTCATGGTGTAGAAAGCAGTTGAAAGATTTAATATGTTCTTGCAGAGCCAGGTGCAGATCTATGAATTATTATGTGATTAAAAAGTAAAACTCTAGAGCACTGGTGACCAAACGTTTTGTCACAGGGCCCAAAATCATCAAGGATAAAGTATTCATTCATAGGCCAAAAAAATGTCCAAAACCACAAAAGAACTGTATTTTTTTATTATGGAGATAAATTAGGCATAAATATGTTCAGTATTATAAGACCTGACTGGCATTCAGAATCCAAAAGCTTTTATAAAAAAAGAAGAAAAGGAGTTGTTGAAGTTTCTCCAACTTTTTTTGCAACTGCATCAACAAACAGAACTGCAGACTTCGCATATTAATGCTAAATATTGAGCTGCAACTGCGGGACATATTGGAAGGGATTCGGACAAACAGAACCTTCCTTCTTGATCTGTTGTTGATCAGCAGATTAAAATTTCTTTGTTGTGTTGTCTGGTTTTATTATAATATCCCTTTATACACACGGCCTTTTCATTAGCATCATGACCAGTTCCATGTTTCAGATTATTTTTATTCATGCAGTAAAGTAAACCAACATGTGTTGAATCCTGTTTCATATATAACTGAAACTGGACCTCCAAGACCTTAATGGATCCATCCTGACAGAACATTCACAAGCTGTTCATATTTATTTATTTAGATATTAATGTCAGGAAACTTTATTGAAGAAATTATATTCCTGAGATTTCATGTCCTGGTTTGCCTTCAATTCTTCCAAATCCTAAACATTTGAGTGTTTGAGGTTAATGGTAATAATCATCCAGTCAAATCAAAGATCCTCCTTCACTACAACAACTCAACAAAGACGATCTGCAGACCTGGTTTCACCTTCACCCTGGTTGATTCAGGTCAAGTTTATTAGAGCATTTCAGCAGCAAAGCATTTCAAATAATCACTAATTATGAAACAAGCATTATTACTTTGATACAGTAATCAGTATCAAATATACTGATCAATGATCAATGAAAGACAACACTAAACAGGGTTTTTATCCTGATTTAAAGGAACTCTGTGTTTCAGCAGTTTTTCATTTTTATGCTCCTTTAACTTTGTTCCAGATTAAAGGAGTATAAAAACTGAATGCTGTTTCTCCATGTTTGGTTCTGCTGTCTAATTTTTGACTCAGATCTGTGAAACACTGTCCCAGTAATCAATGTGACTGAAGATAAAGCATGGATGAGTTTCTCTAGATCTTAATGAAACATTAGTCCTTTAATCCTAAAAATGTTCCTCAGCTGACAGAAGGCCGACTTTGTAACCGTCTTTATGTGTGTGAAGGTTCGGGTCAAAGTCCATCACTGATCTCCAGTTTCCAGCTGTAATAACTGCAGCTGTGCCCTGATCCTTCCTCTTTAGATCCAAAGACAATAACTTCAGTTCTGTTTCTGTCCAGCTGGAGAAAGTTACATTAAATGAGTTCAAAAGAAACACAGTTCAGTCTGATTTAGTGTCACTGGGGAAAAATTAATGAAATCAATGTAAATATCTGGATTCTACTGAAAAGAAAAATATTCATTTTAACAGCATCAGGTCAACATGTTTGCTAAATGTAAGATTTATGTGCCTGTCTCACATTTTGTTGCACTCACCTGCTGGAAAAATCTGGCTTATAGGGGAACATAAAGGCAATTCTTGGAAGTTTTATATTTTCTTTAATATACTGTCTTCATTCATTATCCTTCATGGCTTTAGATAAAACTTCTACTATCTGAGTCAGACACCATAGGAAATAAACAGTCTGTCTTCCAGATTTATAACTTTTTGACCTTTTGTCTCCAAACACTTCAAACTGGGAAAAAGGATTTTATTTTATTATACTGTAATCTGTAAAATCGGCCAGGCTAATATTTTGCAGTATGAGTTGATAAAGTGTCTTTACTTTGATCTGGTGGTTCTGAGCGCTGGGCTCAGCTCGGCCGGCTGTGCGTGATACTGAGAAGTCCTTCCCTCTGGACTCAGCACAGGCTGTTATTGTTTGATAGAAAAGGCATTAAGATGAAGCTTCGGCATGAGACTCACCTCAGGTTATTGAAGCATTTTCATGTCCAAGAAAGGAAATTTATTTTTGCCATTATGCTCATTGTGAGTCTTTTGCCAAAAAACTGAAAAAAATCACAAAAACAAGATTAAAAACTGAAACATTTAGAAGAAAAACTGTTTGAGTTTGACACAACAAAGTCACCTAATTGTGTACAAATTTAGTCTTTTGTGAAGATAAAGCAAAGGAGGTGGATTAGCAGAGCGCTAACAGCTAATGATGTCATCAGGACATTTTACTTTGAAATACAATCTCTGCTGCTGCTAGCATGCTAGCAGCTAGCATGTCATGATGAGGCTGTCATACAGCAACAGTCTTCAGTCAGAGGCCTCTTCCCATTCATTTCATTACTGACTGTTACCACGACTCTTTACGACACCTGGATGATACGAGTTATGACAACATTTTGTCCCCGTCCACTGTAAACGTTTCTAAACGATTAAACAAAAATGTACGTTGACGCGACAGGTTGTAGCGCCACAGAAAATGATGCGGTTGGTATGCCGGGCCACTGGGTGGCGCTGTGACACTGCCACCCACAAAAAAGACAGAATGGCGCCATATTTGATATTTGTGACAGTAGGAGCATGTGGGACAGACAGACAATGTCATCGTTTAAAAAACTGACACTGAGAACCAGAAACATGAAACCAGCGTTTTGAAATTGATCCTCTTTGGAACCCGGTTTCAAAAACAATTGTTTCTGGTCTCCCAAAATGCCAAATCCATGTGGATGCACAGCCAAAACGAGAAAGACGTTTTCTGGATCCATCTAAAATCTTCTCCATGTGGAGAAGATTTGAAAAGTTTTTTTTTAAATTTAATTGCATCCTGTTCAGGATAGGTAAAAGTTAATCTATCAGTTGGTGAAAATCCCAAACATACAGCAGGAACTACAATGGAAAACTTTAGATAAAATGTTCTAACACATGGCCTAGTCAAAGTCCAGACCTAAACCCAACGAAGGATGTACAGAGACTTGAAAGCTGCAAGTGGAGACACAACCCAGAAGATTCCCAGCTGCAGCTGCAGTGAAAGTTGAAACGTATGAAAATAAATGAGTTTTATTATTATGTTCCTTCCTGTTCACCACTTCATGTGGGTCTTTCATATAAAATCATTTCAATCTGGAAAGACTCAGACGAAGAAAAAGGAACAATTAAAAGATTTAATGACAGCAATGAATAACAGTTCTTTGGCGCGGGCCCGGCAGCTGATCTGAGCTGAGATTTGATGTGAACTCGATGAACATCCCGATAACCGATTAGGGATGCTCTCCCCCAGGGCCCGACACTGGTGGAGGAGGTCTGGAAAGGGAGCCATCCTGGAGAGGCGAAGGATGTGGGTGGAGAAGGGGCGGTGGTGGGTTGAACGCAGCTGGGAAGCGTCTGACGGCTTCGGTGTGGATCCTTCATGCTGAGCCTGATTGATGGTTGGACACGCCGGGTGAGGTCCAGCGCTGAGGTCGGAGATGAGCATGACGCCGATGGACGAACGGAGGGGATGGAGTCTTCCAGGTTGAATTTTCGCTATCAGCTACATTTTTTCCATGTTTTGCTGCCAAGAAAAAAGTTTGATGCATTACAAGAAATGAATAATACAATAAGTCCCAGATTAAATCTCAGCAGTGCAGTAAGCATAATTTATCAAAACTCATTTCTCACAGTGACACTTGAGAAATGTGTCACTATGAGAAATGTGCTTTAATAAAATAAGAATGTAAACTCATAACACCAGGACTAAATGACTTTGGGATGTTATCGCTGAAATTAGCATATATGTTGGGAATATTCTGGCAAACGGCAGGAAATGAACACATTAAAGTTTTTTTTCTCCAGGCCTTCAGCAGATAAAC